AACAAATGAATGAGTGACTGGGTGAATGAATGGACAAGTGACGAATGATGACCAAAAGAAAAAATGACTGAATGGCTGACCCAATGAGTGACTGAATGACCAAATGAACCAAAGGACGGATGTGCAAACGAATGAGGGAAGGAAGGAACGTACAAAGAAGGGGTGAGAGTGTGGTGGGTCAGTGAGTGACGGAAAGCGTGAATGAATTCACGAGTTTGTGGGAGACAGAGAAATGAATTAAGATCCAAGTGGACACCAGACAAAGAGGTGACTCAAGACGAACAGGTGTGAAAGTCACCGAGCGGCTGAACGAGCGGCACCTGGAGCAGACAGACGGGCCACCCCAGGCACACAGGCTTGCACGCCCCGCCTGTGGCTGTGTCCTGGGGAGCCACGCCCACAGCAGCCCCCCATCCACGCACGCACCATGACATTCAGGCCCTGGTTGGTGGGCCCCTGGGCCACGATGTACTCGATGCCCGTCTCGTAGACGTCCATGGGCCGCCGGTACTTCACCACGGTGCCTGCGATGTTGAAGTTCTTGGGGCTGTCCACCTTGTAGTTGCCATTGAAGAAGTAGAAGCCAGCCTCATCTGCCAAAGCTGGGAGGGCAGTGCTGCCGTCAGGCCAGGCGGGAGGGCCTGAGGGGCAGAGGAGCCGGAGCCTCTCGCTCAGGGAGCTGCAGCCGGCCTGCCCGCACCCCCAGGGCAGGGTCCTCGCAGCCGCAAGGAAGGGACAGATCTCTGCCTGGGCCGTCGAGAGCCGAGGGGACCAGCCCCTCTCTGTCAGCCATGGCGACCCTGGCACAGCGACTCCAGCACACCCTTGTGGACCTGCTTGGCTGCTCTCAGCTGCAGGGCTATGGGGCCGAGCTGGTGCCAGCCTGCAGCCAGTATAGACAAGAGGGTCAGCAGCCTGCTGCAGATATGGGCAGGCCCGGGGCTGGGCATAACCTGGACAGGAAGAACCTCTGTGCCTCATCAAGGCCTACCGTGAGTGACACCACAGCCCTTGCCTGACTGGCATAGGGTGCTGTCCACTGGGCTGCTCCGGGGACCCCCCGCTGACCAGCTCCACCCTCCTCATGAGAGTAATGACCTCTGCTGTCACCCTGTCCTCCTTGGGGCCGAGGGCTGGCAGGGTTAAATTAGGCAGGCGGGGACCTGGGTACTCCTGTCCTCTCTCCCAGAGGTGGCTGCTGGGGGGACATTCCTAGAGTCTGGCTGAAGCCACAGGAATATTGCGTGGCCCCCTCCAGCTGGGCCCCTGTGCCTGCAGTCCTCCCGGGGCAGAGGTGCCTGGGGCCTCCAGGGCAGGGAGGAGCCAGGGGAGGCGGACTCGGCACTCAGGGACACGCTGTCTTCCAAAGGATGTCCTTAAAGCCAGTTCCAGGAACTGGCCGCCAAAGGACGGTTCAGCTTCCAAAGCCCCTGATCCAATACAGAGGAGCTGGGCGATCCATTTATTATCAGACAGACGTAACATGCAGGACGCGTCTGCCTGGAAAATGCCCTGGACACAGCCATGTCGGAGAATGACGCAAAGGCCGCGTGCTGCGGGGGCCGGCCGGCCCGGGCCAGCATCGGGTGTGAGCCAGGGCCCAGCGGGGCCCCGTCCAGGCCCTGCTTCCTGCCGGTGAGGACCTTCCCGCCTGTGGCTTTCCCCGCGCTCCGAGGCAGCCCTTGGCACTTCCCCGTGTCTGTCTCAGGGAGAGAACTCTGCAGCCAGCCTGGAGAACACAGCGTGTCCTGGCCTCGCCACTCCCCAGAGGGCCAGCTGCAGAGCCACTGGCCTGGCAAGGAGCCCAGCTCCTCGGGCCCAGCCCAGGCCGTCACCCAGGTGGTGGCACCTTGGGTCAGTGGCATACAAGGCCAGGGCTGGACTGTGTGGGCCCCGGGGGCTGCACTGAGGCCAGTGCCCCCAAGTCGCTGCAGACAAGGCTCACACGGCAGCCCTGGTCTCGCGCGGCTGCCCTCATAAAGTACAGGTCCTTAGTCTGGCCCGTGCGGGCCGGACAAGCTCCCAGAAGCTCCCGGGGGGCAGCACCTGCCCCCCAGGCTGAGGGGCCACAGCATGTTCTAGGTCCAGGTCAATGCTCCAGCCGCACAGACAGCCCACCCGAAAATCACCCCCAGACCGGGTGTTGTGGCCTCCCACAGTGTAAATAAAGCAAGAATCCACAAGGCAGCCCCCCCCCAGCCCAGCTTCCCACAGGACACCGCAAGGGCAGGGCCAGGCAGGGCCACCGGGCTTGAACCCACCCCTGCCTCCCAGCTCGTGACCTCGGACGCCACTCGCCTCCTGTGCTCCCCCTGAGCCCTCACCTCCTGTATATGCTGCTCCTGCCCCACAAGGGGCCCCAGCTCCACCTCCTGGACCAGGCTGTCCAGAGATGGGGAGCTCTCTGCCCAGCCTGTCCAAGGATCTCCCACACAGGGACAAATCGCTTCCCCCCACCCCACCACCTGGCCTGGCCCTCTCCCAGGGGACGGGGCCCAGACAGGACAGGTGGCCCCTCCTCCTGTGGACACCGCCCCTGCACCAGCCACGCACCCAGCACGTCTGCCGACTTCTTCCTCTCCACGATCTGGATGTCCCGGGCCCCGGCTGGGATGTGAGTCACCAGGGAGTAACCTGTGGACACGCAGATGATGGGGAAAGGGTTATGGCCCAGTGGAGCCCTCGCTGGGGACATGGCCGGGAGGGGAGTGGAAGGTGGAGGCACCCCTGGGGAGCAGATGCAGATACCCCCTGGGTTGTGGGGGGAGGCTGCTGTCTAAGGGTGCGTGGGGGTCCCGCCCTGCCAAGCGCCGGTGCTGTCCCAATGCTGGCCCTTCCCTGGGCACCCAATCCATTCCCACCAAGGCCACAGGAACGGCCTGTCCTCATTAGTGCCCACCCAAGAACTTCCCTACGGGCCTTGTGGAACACGGCACCTCAAATACTAGCATTGTGGACCCCAGTCCTGCCCCCTGCCATCCTGAAGGGCCACGGCCAGCGCGGGACCCCGGGCCTCGTCTCCTCTCCGGTACACAGGCACTACGTTGTCCACTCTGCACTGCCGCCTTGCTACATCTATGCCCATCTCATCAGAGCGGGAGCTGAGACCGAAGCTCAGGAGACCTGAGGACGGAGCCTGGCCGCCCCACAAGCCCTGTGCTGGCCAGCCAGAGCTGCCCCAGGTGCCGAGAGAGGCCGCCATGGATGGTGTCCTCTGAGTAAAACAGGGACAGGGGCTGGGGGTGGGGGTGCACCGCCTGCAGGGGCAGGACACAACCGGGACGCAACCTAGCCAGCAGAACAGGGGAGCCAGCACCTGCCCCAGGCTCCTCTGCACATACGCAAATGTCTTCACCTGCCCTCCTCCCAGACCCCACCCTCATCCTGAGGGTCTCCAGGGTCCTGGCCTGACCCTCCTACCTGCAGCTCTGATAAATATTTCCCAATGAGGTCTAAAGGGGCCAAGTGGGAGGGGCTAGGATTGACCCCCTCGGCTATTTCTGTCATAATGGCCAGTTGCAAATTACCAAGGTCCCATCCCTGCACAGAGCCAGGCAGAGCCGCGATAACCTACTGTATGTGGTATTGCCACCGTAGGCCACAAAAGCTGGCCAGGAGGACCAGGAAATGATCGCTTCGTGTTAAACGCAGTTTATTTAAGTTTAGGCTCTGCTTCACTGTTGAAATTACCAAAAAGCCCACGAGACTCCGGGCTCCTGGGACGCCGCAGAGCCCTGACCTTGGCAGCAGCACAATGTGGGTGTGGCTCCGTGGCCAGGACACAGACCCTGGGGGCTGGCAGGCCCAGCGGCAGCCCTGCTGGTGACTGTGGGCCCTTAGGTGGCTCTGCTCCTCCCTGCCTGTCCCGCGGCTGTGAGCAGCAGCCTCTTTACCTGCCTTGCGGCTGGCCTTTTCCTGCAGAGGCGCTGGCAGGATCAACTGCGATGGGTTCCATGCCAGCCCCCACTCCTCATGGGGAGCTCAGCCAGGACACGGCCCAGAGTAGGGCCTTGCTGCCACCCACAGAGCCTGGTACCTTCCGGGAGCTGGGTGAGAGATACACTGCCCAGCTGCTGGTCCCCAGCTCTGCGCCCGGCGGAGGCTGTGGGCGCAGGTGCGCAGTAGGGGCGGGGTCCGGCTGGGGTTCTGCTCTACCTGCTCCAGTCCCTAGGCAGCCTGGTAAGATGTTCCACCCCATGGTTCTCGTGGAGTCTGGTTGCTCAGCCCCCTCCTGCCCCATGTCCCTCAGCCCAGCATGCCCTCACGTGGTCCCATGTCCAAGCCCCAGCCTCCTGCTCTGTCGCTAGCCCCACACCATCCTCATGCAGGGCAGGCCCTCCTCCAACTCTGAAACCAGCCGGTGGCCCCACAGGGCCAGCCCCAGTCCAGGGGCGCCTGGCCTCAGCTTTCCCATCTACCTAGTGGGTCTCCAGCTGCCCCACCTCCCCCAGTCTGGAGTTTGTCATGGCCTGCTTCAACCGAGATTTAAACACGGACAGACATTCCAGTGGACGTCCCTCTAAAACCCTAGTGCCTGCTGCACACCAGCCCCCCACGAGGGCTTGGGCCACAGCTGGACACAAACAAGGCCTAAGTGCAGAGGACCAGTGCTCCTGGGACAGAGACGGTGGAGGGGCCAGGCCCCAGAGGAGGAAACCCAGACTCAGGCCCCGCACCCCATGAGCCCGCAGCCACGTCTCCAGGGGACTCCAAAACCAGGCCTCCTGCCTCAGTTTCCCCCATTTTAAGCCTGCAGGGCACGCCTCCCTGTCGCTGCCTCAAAGGTCAGATGTGCCAAGAAGATATTCAGCAAAGGGCCACTGATGCAGCTGGTGAGAGGGGCCCCCCAGGGACCTGCCCAGCAGCCCCGGCAGCCGGAGCAGGGTGGCCTCACCGAGCTGCACGTTGCCCTTGCGGTAGTTTCCGGTCACGTGGGTGCAGCTGCTGCCGTCGCCCTGGCAGACTCCGCACTTGTCCAGCGTGTGGGTGGAGAACAGCACCCCGTCACAGCCGATGGGCTGCAAGAAGCAGGGAGATGCTGCTGGGGGGCGCGGGGCGCGGCCACCACCTCCCGGGCGGCCAGCACGGCCAGCGCCGCGAAGCCAGCTGGACTCCGCCGCAACGCTTAACAACCTCACATTTTCCAGTCACGCAAACCCCTCGCAGGCCGGTGAGCTTGCAGGACGTGCCGTCGCGGGCGGGCACCATGAGCTGCCGCTGGCCATCCACCGTGGTACAGTGCAGGTCGCAGGGCTTGCTGGAGATGTGCACGTAGTCGTCTGGGGACGGGACGGGCGGGGCTCAGCGCGGAGCAGGCACTGCCGCGCCCCGCCCCAAGAGGGAGGCTGAGGCTGGGAGTGTAGAAGGGACCTGGGGTCTCTGAGGCAGGTCTCGAGGGCTCAGGCCACAGCTGAGGCCCAGGAGCCAACTCCATGGCCGGAGCCCCTGGGCACCCAGCCCCGGGAAGCGGGCGGCGCTCATCCCCGCCGTGTCTGAACAGCTCTGCTTCCTCTCTCCAGGAGACGGAGACACAGAGAGCAGCGTGCCCCTCCCCGCCCTGTGGGCCATGGCCGGTCTAGGGTTGTCTGGGCTGGTTCCTGTCCAACCCCTGGCCAGAAGTGGGAGAGGCCGGAGCGTGGAAGCCAGGGCTGCAGGAAGCTCAGCCCCAAGACCTGCCCAGGGCTGATGTCACAGGTCTAGGGAGGGGGACAGAACCCCAGGCCCCTGCTCAGGAGATGTGGGATCCTCCCTGGCTCCAGAGCTGGCCACAGTGGCCCGTAACCAGACGCCTGCTCTCAGCCTCCGTTTCCTGCTTGCCCAGCTGTCAGAACTGGCCCGGGGGCTGTAAGGACCACCCCACCCACCACCTCAGCAGGGCATGTCCCCAGGCTCTAGGTACCGGGGTATAGGGGCTTCCACTGGTAGGTCCGTCCGTCGTACACGCGGGAGTTGAAGGAGACGCACTGTTCCTCGCGGAAGCTCCTCCCGTCCGGTGGGCACTCCTGGGGGAGCAGGGGGGCTCCAGCGGGAAGCAGCTGCAGCTGGATACCCTCAGAGCTGCAGCCCAGGGGGTTCCCGTGCCCCAGTCTGTCTCCCTCTCTGCACCACTCCCCACAGTGCCCACCCCTCCAGCAAGGCAGGTGCCGCCCCTCATGTCCTGCCAGCCACCCTTCTTGTCCCCTGCCCCAGCCTTCCTCTCAGCCATGAGCCAGAGGTGTTGGGATGCTCGGGCGCTGCCCCATTGATGCCCCCTTGCCCTCTATCCTCAGCAGCCCCTCCCCTTGTGTGCCTGTCCACCCCAGTGCAGGAACAGCCCTGTGCATGGGCAGGCTCACAGGGATCCACTAAGCCTGGCAGCACCATTCTTTGAGGGCAGCTGACCAGGGGACCTCAGAACAGAAGCCGTGGCCCCTCGTACACCTCCAGCCCCCACCCGTGAGCAGGCAGCAATGGCTTCCAGCCTATGCAGACCCACACCCTCACCCTATATCCCCGAGTTCTAGGAGAGGTATTGGGGTTCAGACTGCCTCTGGCCCCCGAGCCACCCTGGGGCTGAGCCAGCCCCAACACCTCCTCTGCAGCCTTGGCCTCTGCCACCTCCCTCCTGACACCAGGCTGCTGAAGCCTCGGAGACCCAGGAGCCCAGGCATAGCAGCGAACAAGCAGGGGAGGAGCTGCTAAGGTCCCAAGCAGTGGTCCAGGGGACCAGAGGACAGAGAGGCCAGCCCGGTGTTTGAGGGCCCACGCGGGCACCACACGCCTCAGTTTGACCTGCCCAGTTCTGCCCCTCTCCTTGCAAGGTGCCAGGTGCACTTTGGGGCCCAGGACCTTGAGGGGACCTGCACTGGGAGGGACAGCGGGGTCCCAGGCCCCAGCCTCACCTTTAGGCTGCAGAGCTGGTAGCGCTTGGATATCCCGGTGCAGGTCCTATTGCCAGCGCCCAGGACAGACTTCCTCCTGGCACAAAGGTGGGTGCTGAGCGAGGCTCGCAGCCTCAGGAGGAGCCTCGGGGTGGTCCTGCGGCCACCAGCATCCAAAACCAGCCTCCCCCGCGCCAGGCAGGACACAGCCGCGGGCCTGGAAGCCCGGAGTTCTGCTTGCAGGTGCACGCCTCGTGGCTGCTGAGCTGGCGCGGGGGCGCCCACTGTCCCACGCTGCAGTTGAGGGCGGGGATGGCAGAGGGCTGAGTGGCCTACCCAGGAAGCAGGAGAGGCAGACTGAAACCCAGGCCCATGAGGCAACGGAGCTCCAGCCCCGTGCCTACCATATTCCTGCCCACGTGCACCGGCTCAGGGCTTCAGAAGAGAAGGCCAGGGCATTGCCCCTCAGAGACAGAGCCCTAGGGACCATGCTGCCTCCCCACGAGGAGGCCTCCTGGTACCTGGCCCCTGTGGGGGACTGTCAGGATCTCTGTCACCTGCAGAGGTGCCAGGGAGATGGACAGGACCACTGGGCCCCAAGCCTGGGTGCCCACCCCATGTGCCAGCCCGCAGCCGCACAGAGCCCCACCTCTGCTGCAGGCAGTGCCGCTCCTGGGACATCACCCCGCGCCCGCAGCTGCGGGAACACGCAGTCCACTTGGTCCACTCGCCCCACCAGTAGGCAGTGGCACCGGCGCCACCCTCCAGGCTGTTGGATGTGGGGCTGTTGTCCTGATGAGAGAGCCACAGACTCTGGTGGGCGGCTCGAGTGCCCAGAAGAAGGGCCCGGCCCGCACTACCCTGGCGGCTGGGCAGGAAGACACAGGCTCCTCGGCAGCCTAGGCACAGGCCTCCCCGCGCCAGGCCTGTCAGCTCACCACCCACCCTCCCATGCAGCCTGGGCCCCACCTGGATCTGGGGAACACAGCCTACCTTGGCTAGACAGGGAGGTGGGGAGCCACCACCAGCCACTGTCGCTGTCACTTGAGGCCAGGGGCATGGAGTGGCCAGACGCCCACTTCAGGGCCAGTCTGGCTGGGGATGTACCCCACACCTACCTTATGGTGCTCCACAGTCAGCCTGCTCGGAGGCAGCTACACCTACGTGAGTGGCTGGGGCAGGGCCCGAGACAACACCCCACTCACCGAGAGCTCCGTGGGTGCTGCACCCCCGGCGACCACTGCCATGGCCAGCAAGGCCCAGGCCCATGGTGAGTACTGCCATCCTCCTTCCATCCTAAGAACCAAGGCCACTGTCACACAGGGCCAGAGCCAGCTTTAGAGAGGCTCACCCAGGGCTCCGAGGTCAGCTGGCAGTGGCTGCTCCTCTGTGGGGGCAGCACGAAGGTGCTTGAGCCATTAGAGACCTGTCTGGACCTGGGCAAACATGTGCCAGGTCGGGACCACCCTGATCTGAGGGCACACACACAGGGAGGCTGCATGCTTTGCCTCCAAGGCATGACCGAGCTCCCTGGAGACACTGGGGACAGCTGAGCGGCTGGAGGCCCAGGCTGGGGGGACGTCGCTATGGAAAGGGACAAGGGCAGTCAAGGACCTGCCAGCCCTCTTACGCGGTAGGTCCCAAGAACCCCAGGGGAGCACGCTCTATGAACTCTGTGAGTCCCTAGCCCAGGCGTCCACAACCCCCCCACCAGGAATTGGGGGAGGGCACAGCTTGTGACAGCAGCCCAGGGCCATCTGGCTGACCCCTCCCAACCAGCCAACATTGTCAGGGTCATACCAGGGTCAAATAGATGGATCAATCAGCCCCCAGACAGTAACCCTGAAGCACCCACCCTGTCCCAGAGGGGAGGGAGAGGGGTGCCTCGCTGGCGGGGAGTTAGAGAAGGGGCTTCTGAATTCACACAGCCCAGCTGGGGGAAGCTGACCAGCACCCAGCCCACAGGCTCTTGTGCCACACTAGGTCTCTTTTAGGGACAAGTGTGGAGTTTGCCCTTCCGCAGCCCTGAGGCCAGCCCTCCCCCAGCGCCCCAGAACCCCTTCCTCAGGCCAGGCAGGGCAGGTGTTCACAGTCCTGCTGGGGGAAGCAGCCCCAGCCTGGTGCCAGCTGCTGCGCCCCTGAGCGCCTTCTGCACCCCAACCTCCTGGCAGCAGGACCGTGCTGGCCCGCGTGCTCCCTGGCACCAGGCCCTGCCCAAGGCTGAAGACAGGTGCCGAGAGCGCACACACCTGGCTTTCATTAAGGCTCCCAGACAGGGCTGGCCTCAGGCCAGGCCACTTACGGGGATCCATCCCTCCCCAGGGTCCCAAACCAGCAGAGGCTGCAGTGGAGGGGCCTGGCTGTGCAGGTCAGATCACTGGTCTAGTCTTCCTCCAGGAAGAAAGGCGCTCTGGGCCCTGAGGGACTGCTCAGCCCCCCTCAGGCAGCCAGAGCAGCAGAGCCCAGGCCCCAGAGTGCGGTGACACTGCAAGGACAGGGACTGGTGGCCTACCTGGCCCAGCCTCAGCAGGTTGTCCTCCCAGAGCAGGAGTGAGCGCCAGGTGCTCAGCCAGCAGGAGCAACACAGGCCAGGGACGTGCGGCTCTGCCTCTCTCCTCCTCCTCCTCCTCCTCCTCCTCCTGGGCAGCTTCCCCTCTCCCACTTCAAAGAGCATCTGCAGGAGGGGATCCCGGGAGGGAGGGGCGCAGCCCAGCGGAGGCTCTGTGGCCGCAGCCGCCTTTATAGCTGTCAGGCAGACGGGGAGGAACTCACACTTCCCACCAGGCCGCTGCCCCGCCCGCCCGCCCGCCGGCCGGCCGGCCGGCACACACTTTAACCCGCTCTGTGCCTCTGGAGCCCGGCCAGGCGGCCCAGCTGCCTTCTGGCTGCTGCCGCAAGGCCCAGGAACAGTGAGCAGGAGGCTGCCGGCTCAGGTCCCGCATGGGGACCACATGCCGGTGTCCAGATGGAGCCGCTAAGCTGAGGTCACAGGGGCGGCTGGCAGTGGCCCCGCAGTCTCCGAGCTGCCCATCCCTCCAGAGGGTCCAGCCCTTCCACCCCGGTGAGTGGGGCTGGTTGGCAGGAGGTGTCCCCATCCTCAGAGCAGAGACAGGTTGCAGCCGCAGACAGCAGCCGGCTTCCTCAGGGTGTCCCAGTGTGACATGCAAAGGTCTAAGCAGGTGAGGGACAGAGGCAGGCCTGGCCAAGGGCTCCGGAGGGGGCAGATGTGTGCGGCCTGCTGACCAGACAGCCAGAATGGCCAGTGCCAGCAGGAGAGGCGCAGGGAGGCTTGCAGATGTTCGGCACCAGCTTGGCAGGGCACGGCGGCCTGGCTGGGCACTGTGCCCACTGGGCAGCCCCTGGCAGGCTCTGTGTTCTTGCTGAGCTGGAGCACAGAGGTGCAGGGGCCGGCAGCTGGCCAGGGAGCCAGCAGGCCCTGCGTGGCCAGGGCCTGCCCCCCACAGCCCCCCATCCCAGAAAACAGAGGCAGGGCGGAGGAGCGGAAGCCAGGCCCACGCCAATGCCGTGTAAGGTCTGAGCTGGTTCATCCATGCCCGGGCTCCACTCGCAGCCGGCCAGGCCTGTGGCGGTGCCCGGACAGCCTCTCCTACCCTCCTTCTCCTGCAGCACCTCCCTGAGCATCTATGGGCTGCACGTTGGGGAAGTTCTGTCCTGTGTGTGACCACCAGCCGGAAAGGTCAGGAAAGAGCAGCCAGCAATAACAGAAAGCAGCAGCACGGCTCCCAAGCTGGGCTTGTCTTGGGTCCAGGGAGCTGCAGGCCAGCACCTCTGTTGCTTAGGGCTACAGCGGGGGAAGGCTCCGAGGGTCCAAGGAGCCTGCCTAAGGCCTGGGACGCAGGGGCGCTTTCTGGCTCCTCGCACACAATCTGCCAGGGCTCTGCCAGCCCCGTGCTGGCAGCAGCTCTCACCATCTCCTCTCCCTGCGGGAGCCCCATCCCCCGCCCTTCCCGACCCTACCCAGCCCCACACCGCCCCCTGGGGGCGGCGTGCAGAAGTACAGCCATGCGGGGGCCGTCACGTGGCCTGGGCACATGCCCTGCACACTGCGCCCACGCACAGTCCCCCAGTACCAGGATCGTGTCACACGCGCTCGGGGAGCCTCCACCACTCTGTTCTCCTACCCCCGCCAGCCGCCGGGCCCTGCACACCCTGGTAACATCCCCGTGGCTCCTGGCACTTCTGGCTCCCGCTCACAGCCGGCACCACGGTGACTAACGGTTTCCCTCGGGAGGGACCCCACGGCCAGCCCACACACCCACCCCCAGTGTCGGTGCTTGGAGAGGCAGGCAGCACGGGCTGCAGGATGGCCACCGGGAGGTGTCCCCGTGGGACCAGCACACCCAGCTGGGTGGCCTCCCAGCTCCTTAAACCCACTGCACTTCTACCTGCCCCTGACCTGACTCGGGATCCCGGGCAGCCATGTCCAGAAGGTCCTGGGCATGGCAAGGGACGTGCTCTGAGGCCCACTGCCCAGGACAGGTCTCAGGCCCCCAGGAGCCTCTCCATCCAGTGACAGCATAAGTCCTCCTCCTCAGCGCCTGTGGGGATTGGTGTTCACCCTCCAATATCCGTGTCCCAAGATGGCGACGTGGCTCAACAAACAAAACACAGAGGGTGGGGAAAGGTGGTGTTGGCATAACCAGGAAGCTTCATCCTGCCTTGTAGGCAGGGACTCTGCATTCTGCCCTGACCCCGCAGTCACCGACCTGGCAACCCCGGGTCACTGGGTCCTGACCCCTCCCCAACACACGTGCCTGAGGCCAGGGTGGCCCACTGTCGCCAAAAGCACTCGGGGCCCAGGCTGTATGCACCCAGCACTCCTCTGCCATACCCATCTCCTCCTGGTCAGGCCCCCAGATGCTGTTCAAGATGCTTCTGAGACGCCCCAGAGCCCCGCATCATCTGGCCGGAAGTGTGTCCTGCTGTGGCTGGATCCTCTGCACGCACAGAGGCCTCGCCCCAGAGCTCTGTCCACACAATGTCTGGGAGCCCGTGCTCCTTGGGGACTCCCATGTGGCCGTGACTCTGGAGACGCCCTATGTGAACAACCCAGGTATCAGGGAGCAGTCACACACCCACGCCACCCATAGCCCCAGGGCTGGGCATCCACGCACCCACAGGTTCTGTCAGGGCCTTCAACCACACTCAGGAGGCTCAGATCCACAGAGAGCCACTGTCCCTCAATGACTGTGACCCTAGCATCACGGGGGCCCCTCCCTGCCACGCCCTGGCGGGGTCTACACCAGCTCCCTGGGCTCGAGTGCCACCCGTCCTCCTCACTGGGCAAATGCAGGCGTACCAGCGCCCTCTCAGAGCCCCAGCTTCCTCACCTAAGCAGTAAGGGCAGCGTGGCGGTCTGCACGCTGTGCACACGAGAGGCGCCCTGAGCGGGCACAGGAGGAAACAAGAAGAAGAGCTGCAAGTGCAGGAGGCAGCCCTGGCCCCGAGCTGCAGTGGTCGCTGGCCTTTGTGCCTTTCCTCAGCCTGACAAAACCGCATCAGGCCTCAGGGTCGCAGCCAGACACACAAAGCCAAGGCCGAGGTCCGGCCCCTGGAGGAGACTCTGCGGGCATAGCCACTGAGTCCGGGACACATGCTCCGGTCCCACTGGAGCCAGGACACGAGGCACTCGGTCCACACCGGAACCCCGACCCAGGAGCTCCCCACGGCTTTGCGAGCCCGAGGCATAGTCTTCTTCTGCTGGGTGACAAAGGCTCAGGAGCCGCTGCCCAGTGTAACGCAGGCCCAGAGATTTCTGGTGTGGAGAAGGACTGAAGAGGGCGAGCAGAGCGAGCAGGGCCGCTTGCCTTTCCTCCAGACCCACGGCACCCCATGTCTGTCCAAGGGGGCCTGCCCAGCTCCAGCCAACAGCCAAAGGACCCCTGTTCCTGGGGGGACCCCACACCACCCATGGGAGTCTGTCCAGAGAGCAACAAAGTGCTGGGGTCACAAGGGACCAGCAGGTGAGAGGGCACGTGTACCAGGTGGGGCCAAGGAGCACACCGCCCATTCCTGCTCCTCCCTTCCCAGCTGGGAACGCTGGCATCGTCCGTTAGGCCAAGGGGGGGTGTTTATTGGGGACTCCGGGCCTGTGGATAGCTGAGCCGGACCAAGCTGTCAGGGTCTAGGGCTCCACAAAGGGCAGCCCCATGCTCTGGGAAGCTGAGGCAGGAAAATCACAAGTTCAAGCCCAGTCTGGACAACTCGACAAGATCCTATCTCAGATTAAAATATAAGAAAAGGACTGAAGATGTAGCATATTATGAAGACCCTGGGTTCGATCCCCAGGCCTGTGGAAGGGAAGGAGGGCAGGGAGAGGAGGGGAGGCAGAGGATGGAGAGGACAGAGGGAAGGAGAAAGGTGGGGAGAAGCTCCTTTGCCCCTAAACACAAGCAAGAACAGGCTAGAAGTCCTGGTGTGGCTGGAAGCAGGCCGGGTGTTGGTGCCTCAGGAGCACAGCCAGGCAATGGACGCCCAGCCACTGTGAGCAAGAGACCTGGGCCTTTGTCACCCTGCCGAAGAAGACTATGCCTTGGGCTCCTGGAGCCGTGGGGAGCTCCTGGGGCAGGGTCCTGGTGTGGACCAAGTGCCCGTGTCCTGGCTCCAGTGGGACCAGAGCGTGTGTCCTGGATTCAGAGTCTGCGCCCACAGAGTCTCCTCCAGGGGCTGGACCTCGGCCTTGGCTTCCTGTGTCTGGCTACGACCCTGAGGCCTGATGCGGTTTTGCGTGGCCTGTCTAGGGCTCTCGGGGCAGTGGCTCCGGCAGGAAGTGACAAAGGCTAAGGACAACCCAGTGGACCTGCCAAAGCCAGGAACAGGGTGTCCTGTCCACGGGGCGGGCGCCTAACGGTCTCCCCACCAGCCCCTCTTTGCCGTGGACCCCAGGAGCTCCAGCAGCGGTGGAGGCTGAATGCCTGAGTCCCCGGGCGACATGGTGGGCTATGGCTGTGCTCACCTGGGTGCCATCCCTTCCTGGCCTCACTTGCTGGACAACAGCTGGTGGGGTGGCGATGGGGGGGATCTGCAACTCAGCATCCCCAAGCTCAGTGCCCTGCTTTCTTCAGCCCAGGGGGACAGAGCGCCTGGCTCTCAGACCCAGTACTGCCAGACTGGCCAGCCCTTCCCGAGTTTCCCTGCCTGTGCCGGGCAGGCCTCACAGCAAGCCTGGAGACAGGGCATCTGGAGCTCCACTTTGCAGAAGGAAAAACTGAGGCTCGTGGGGCCAGCTGGCATGCCAAAGGCCAGTGCGAGGGCAGGGCAGGCCTCTGCGGGCCCCGCTGGCTGGTGCTCTTGAGCTGCTAGTTCCCACCCGCAGCTGAAGAATCTGATTGCTATGGAGCCTGGGATGAGCTATAGGCCTTGGGACGCGCGAGTGGGCTTCCAAGGCAGGAGTGGGAATCGCCGGAGCCTGCCCTGCCCCGAAACAGGGACTCCACACAAGAGCTGGAGCATGCACTCGGTGACCCAGTGCTGGGGCTGGGGAGTCCCCTGGGACCCCAGGGGCTGGAATTTGAGGCCAGGCCATCCTAGGAGCCCATGTGCCAAGGACAATGGGTATGGAAGGGAAAGAGTAGCTCTGGCCTCCCCGGCTCGCTGGACAGGAGGGGAAGCACAGGGCCGGGGCCCAGGAGCCAGGCAGGGCTGGGAGGCCTGGGAGGCCCTTCCCCCAGGCCTGTCTCCTCTTCTGTATGGTGGAGGGAGCAGAAGCCAGCACCC